ACGAGTCTACTTGACTTGGCTCTAGCTTGAAATATATTCAGTGATTAAATTTTAGACAATACGACAGGAAAGTTTAGCATTTATTCACTTGGCTTGGCGGACACTACACTGATAATTACCACGACTATCACGCTGTCGTGTATCGTAGCACAAGGATGGGTCCACTATTCCGAGGGAATCAATCCATGTGACCCCTTTTTCGATCGCTCGCGATAAATACGTTTTATATAAATTATCAGTCTATAAGCGATTGCCTAGGACATTGCTTTTTAGACTATTTAAATACTAATTTGTAAAAAAAATTAAGTCACCAGCTAAATTGTATTGGTTTCTCAATTTTAAACGTTTCAGATCGTAGATTTATTCGGGGCCGGAGTGCCTACGCTTGCACTCACTTATCCAACGCTTTCTGAACTGCATCAGGATGGACAGGCTGGCTGTCACTTCTCAAATTCTCATGAACTCGGACGACATCTGATTCGTCTTTTACAATTTAGTTATTTGCCAGAGGAACTTTCTTATAAAAACAGCGATCAGACATGTCGGAACGGACAAGTTTGTGATCATGACGTGGATAGATGTGATTCAACCTGCCGTAAAATGCTCTCTTCTTCCTTCGGAAACCAAGAACTGTCTAAATATCGACTATATCTGCAAGAATGGTCCAGAAATCCAGAAAATAAATGGACGACATATTGGAAAAAAGTAGTGCTACCCTTGGTCATAAGTCACCTGAGTAATAATAGCTAATTTTTGTTACAATGATTTGGCCAATCCGAGGAAGCCATTAAAATTTTTGGAGCAGTGAACACAGGCCCTTTAACTTATTTTGATTTTATTTTGTTCCTTTTCGGTTTTCTCCAGATTACCACTTTTAAACCATCCAATAACACAGTCCTTGATGTCAGTTGCTTTTTGGATACTATATAATATAAACACATTTTCTACTTCAAGTCTACTTTTGTATTGAAGATGTGAAGACCAAGATGTTGTGGCCTCGGGTATGGTTGCAGTCTCCTTTCGACTTATTGAAGT